GTCCATTTGTAATGTCTCATCCAACAATCTGCCCTAAACAATTTAGCTGCCCATTTGCTGCCCCCATGAGGGGTATCTGTTCCTGTCCTGACATTTTTAAAGGACTCATGGTCAACCCTAAAAGTCCAATTAATATTTTTCTTAGCACATTTCCTAAAAAATTACCACAGAGTATAAGAGAAAAAGAATTCATTTTCCTACAAAGAATACCACAGAGTATAAGAGAAAAAGAATTCATTTTCCTACAAAGAATAAATCTGACATGATAAAAAGGTAATAGCTGCACATCTATAAACATGGTTAACCTACGGTATTAATGTTCCAAAATATCTTATACATAATCAGTTTTGCATTGCCATTACAACATAAAAAAGCACAATAAATCATTATCTTATTCACCACAGTGCTCTGACTTGCTCAAGAGAAGAACCAGAGCTCAAAGAGCCTGACTTGAACCAAAAGTTCGTTAGGAAATTCTGGAAATGGATCCAGCCAAAGAACCCGCCTACACTACTGTGCATATACATGTGTACCAAAGCATTCCTCCAGGCAGCTGGGCAACAATTCCCCTCAAAACAGGGCCTTGGCTGTTTAGAAAGAGAAACTGTAGTTGGGTCGGGGGATTTTTCAAACTAGAAGATAATCATGCATTTGTACTCTGTGAACCTTCAACTCGCAAAGCTTGGCCATTTCTGAAAATAAGATGAGGTTGGAATGTATTATTTTATCTGGCTTAAAAATCTCAGTGGGGTTTTGTTGACAGTATTAAGCTATATTGTAGTTGAGAACCTCAGTCCTAATCTTCTTCTGAAGGTGTCCTGTTCTGTCTGACCTGGATGTCATTGGAATAGCTAAACAATACGCGCAGTTGGACCTTCCAGCTTTTGCTTTGGGATGTCTCTTGCTGATTCCTCAGTCGGAGAAGCAAAAGCAGCAAATTCAGGTAAATAGTAAGTTTTGTGTTCTACCTGTGCAATGGAAATGTCTTTACACATGGTATGTTTGACACTGTCTGTGAAAGATGGTAATTTATAATCCCATTTTATTTAAGTATGCCACTGCTGACAGCTCCTTGGTGTTTCCCATCCACAAAAGCTATTTCCCTGAATTTGTCCTTCTGAAAGGGATCATGTGAACACTTCCGTTTGCTTTTTTTAAAGCAAGAACAGCTGACCTCAAGTCATCCTCAGCAGCTTTGTCATATGACTTTGCCTTTGAGGCTTTGAGGATATTTTATGGGATCACACCCATAAAACCCATGAAAAAAAACCCAACCAACCAACAAAATACAAGCTATAGCCATATACCTGCTAGAGCAACGTGAAGTTATGGTAATATATATAATTGCTGAGAAGCTACCACTGGGCTCATTTCACAGCAGGTTGTAAGTTTGATAATTGTATTTTTTTACCTAGACTTTCAAAATTTAATTGTTCTTGAATAAAGCAAATGCTTGTTCTGGAGGCAGAGTTCCTACTTTAATCATTCACAGAATATTAATGTAGCCTTTTTTTTTTTTTTGCAAGGGTTTCTTATCAACGTGTAACATAGAAATGGTCTTGCAACAAATAGACGAACACATGAACACTGGAGAAGTGGTGGCATTTGCTTCTCAGGTAAAGAAATAAAATTTACTTCACTTGCCTTTGACTTAGTGCCTTTTTTGCTACTCAATTGTACACAGAACCTTTTTTCCCCCCTCTCTCTCCTGATGCTGGAGAAGTGGTGGCATTTGCTTCTCAGGTAAAGAAATAAAATTTACTTCACTTGCCTTTGACTTAGTGCCTTTTTTGCTACTCAATTGTACACAGAACCTTTTTTCCCCCCTCTCTCTCCTGATGTCTCCAGCCATTAGTTAACATAAGGCTTATGAAATTGCATCTCTCTTGCCTTGGGCTGCCTTCCTAAGGGCAAGTTTCTTAACTCATTCCCTTATCTCAATCTCAGATTAGTCTTTATAAGATCTGCCATTTCACAGCACCAAAAAAAAATATTTTAAAGAAGTCCTGCTCTGTGGGGGTCTAATGAGAAAAAGTAAATTTTTTTCTTATGTTAAAACATTAATACTTTTCCATTACTAAAACTTGAATCTACAGATTAGATCTTTGGTTTTGGACAGTATCATCAATGAAAAGCTGTATGGAAAATTATTGAAAACTAAATATTTTCCATTGTTGAAGCAACACCTGATGAATACTCACCGAATGAAAGAACTAGTAAATTATTTTGCCAAAAAGAACTGGTAAGTTGATGTAACAGGTGATGCATGACTGATAACAATTACAGAAACTGAATCTCTTCTTAATGTTAGGGTGGTTTTTTGCATTTATTTGCAGTCATGGAGATTTTCCTAGTACTCAATCTCTAAGAATTTTTAAGTATTGCTCTGGTAAATAAAGAAATCAAACAAAAAAACCTTACCTCACTACTTTGCGTGCTTAAGGCAAGAGTTTTACAGTGTTATTCAAGCCAAAGTAAGAGCTTATCGAGCCTGGGCTGGGACACAGATCAAATGCAGTTAAAACAGCAAAAATAACCCCACTGAAAAAGCAAATACTTTTGGATTTAATCACTTTACTGTACCTTCAGATGAATCCAGCTGTAGCAGCGTCACAGCTTCAGCAGTAAGAACACTCTGGGGGAAAAAAAATAAAAATAAATGAACTGCACATGCTCAAGAACTAATGGTTTTGCTGCTTAGTTTTTCAGGAGTGAGAAACACCTCTTACATTCCACTTAAATAAAGCAAAGGGTTTTGCTGCTGAACCTGCTGCAGGGCTGTTCTCCATCAGCAATCAGTGACTGGGCTCATTGTCCTCAGCTGCAACCTGTCCTTTCAGACCCCAGATACTCACTGTTGCAGGTCACTGTGTTACCAGTTCACCCACAGTCAGAATGGGGCAGGAACCAATAAATAACCACTTAGATTCTACTGTATATTGAGTTTATTAACAGCCACAGATTAAATGCTTGGCTTGTCATAGCTTGCTTTCCTCTACTGGGAATGGTGGGACCTATCTGACTTCAAAAGTGTGGGGTCAAACCTTATTTTTATACTTCAGTGTATATAGTCTAAATGCTTGGCTTTTTAGAGAACTTGTTGACAAAGTTAATAAGCTTTTTGCCTCCTGCAGCATTGATGATGCAATAGCCCTAATTCAAGAGTATCAAGAGAAATGTGGAAATCCTCCTCTGGGAGACGTACCATCGACTGATCTTCTGAAGGTAAAAGAAACTGCTTTTGTACATCACACAGGACTTTCTCCTGTTTTTCTAAGACTTTCACTCAACTTTTAGAGAAAATACTTCTTAGCAGATTTATTTTATTAAAATATATTGAATATAATAAAATATCCCTGTATTAATTCAAATAATTAATTTTACTTAAACCAAATCTGTGCCATACTAAGCCATATGCTTTCAAGTATTTTCACAGGTCTTAGAGTATATCCTGTTTTCCTCAGCCCTAGTAAAATCGTTTTCTTACCTTCCAGCTGTATCTGGATGGCCCAGAGGAGCCTTGTGTACAGAACGGTCACGGATAAGGCCTTATTTCCCCTTTTCTCCCTCTACTGGCAAGACAAGGGCCGTGCATTGGGAATTCTCACTGCTCAGGTCAACGTTAAACTAAACCCTCAATGCTCTTTTGCTAAAAGCTGCCCTGAGCTTTCCACAGTTTTTTAAAACTGTTCTAGGCTGTTTCTTCTCCATACTCTATCCCCATTGGAACAGTTTAGATTCGCAGCAGAGTTTCATGTTTCTATTCAACACTTTGATTTTTAGGAAGGATTAAGGTTTATTTGCTTTTTCAGGTCAGGATCACTCTAAGATTTCACTGATGCAAACATAACCTTGCATTATTGTGATAAACCTCTTTTTAAAGCTGTAAGTAAGTGGTGTACTTCATGTAAAATAAACTTTGTAGACAAACTGTAATTTTAACTACAGTGAGCACAAATAAAGAGACTTACCTATCAATTTTGGCCTTATATTGTTCTATAAACCTTTTTTAATTACGAAATTGTCAGTAAATTGATCAGTGCTCAGTCACTAACCTTCTGTGAATAACGTTTGCCAAGGTTTTCTTTTCAACTTTGTTCTTTCTGTGTGGCTGCAGCCGGATAAAGCAACTGGCACGTGTTTCACTGCATGAAACAGCAGTCAGCCAACAGTTCCTGAGATATCAGGCTGAAATGTTTGGTCTTTTTCTAAGGTAAAGCAGGTTTGTTTTGAACAGAAATAAGTTATTCAGTCAGCTGATGACATAGAAGTAAAGGGTTTAGCTGATCCCTTAAGTTCTATGGGAAACCATTAGTTTAACTCAAACCTTCATGACAAATATTGTCCGGCTGTTTGCACAGCTACTGCCCTGGAAACAGTCGTAACACAAAGGCCAAGGGAAGAGGCCTCCATTTTAAATGTGATCCTGTAGAAGACAAAAGATAAAACTATTTTCATTGGAAGGTTAGCAGTGATGAGAGATGGGTCCAGTCTTCTTCAGCAACCCCTGGTTTAGTCTCCAGCAGCCGTACAAACGCCACGTGGAATTAAATCATTTAAAACCTCTGTACATGGAGCTAAGTGCATATACATGTAGGGTCAGACGTGAGCCATAAATAAAAAAAGCCTCTCTTCACTGTTTAGATTTAATGAGAACCCTCATTCATTAAAGCATAATGGTATTTGAAGCAGCTTTGATTATAAAAAGACTCAACTTCCAACTTTAACTCAACTTGTTTTACTTTAAGTTATGAGTTAATTGCAGTATTTTCAGAATCTATCAACCCATTCTATTAACTTAATTGGGAATGTTATATTGAGAAAATTAACTATCAACTGGATTCTGAAGCAAATATAACACAGCCCACAAGTTCTCAATCTTTTTGTTGAAGCCCTTTACCTGTATCCTTCAGAAGTCACTCCCCAAATGAGAGCATCAGGTGTTGAAAAAGCAACTACAACTGTTGCGTTTTTCTCCAACAACAGTTCATAAAGCTTAGTTTTTCTATGAAGTGGAGTTTATTACACCATTAAGGAACAGTATTTAAACAGTTATTTTAATGGAATATTTTACAAATCAATTCATACAGAGAAAAGCAAACACAATGTTGTTTTAAAGTTATTACCAATAAGCTACATCGTTAAGCTGTTAGCGAGAGTGTCGTACTGTAAACTAGCAATCAAGTATTGTAGTAACTTGCAGTTCAGAATGAGATGGTAAAAATACCAGACAAGCAAAGACATTTTTAAGACTTTTTGTACTCAATTCTTTCTACTTTCACATCATCTCCGATTAGTTGATAGACGTATGTAACTACTGTAGAAGCCTGGATATCCATCAGCACAAACGAAGGAATGATGTTGCTGGAAAGAGAGGAAAAAAAATCCTATTAATTGTGCCCATATAATCACCACAGCAGTGTTTCACCATTACTTAACAGACATCAATCTAAGAAAAATTGATAGGAATTTTGTAAGCACAGGACATCAGATACAAAGCTTTATGTATTTTGCTCTCATCTGTTTTGAACCTGTTTCGTTCAAGGAGATTTAGTAAGTACCACCAACCCTTCCTCCCTCACGTTTAGAATGTGAACATTCACCTCCACCAGAAGTTCTGGAAGTGAATAATGTTTGCCGAGGTTTTCTTTTCAACTTTGTTCTTTCTGTGTGGCTGCAGCCGGATAAAGCAACTGGCACGTGTTTCACTGCATGAAACAGCAGTCAGCCAACAGTTCCTGAGATATCAGGCTGAAATGTTTGGTCTTTTTCTAAGGTAAAGCAGGTTTATTTTGAACAGAAATAAGTTATTCAGTCAGCTGATGACATAGAAGTAAAGGGTTTAGCTGATCCCTTAAGTTCTATGGGAAACCATTAGTTTAACTCAAACCTTCATGACAAATATTGTCCGGCTGTTTGCACAGCTACTGCCCTGGAAACAGTCGTAACACAAAGGCCAAGGGAAGAGGCCTCCATTTTAAATGTGATCCTGTAGAAGACAAAAGATAAAACTATTTTCATTGGAAGGTTAGCAGTGATGAGAGATGGGTCCAGTCTTCTTCAGCAACCCCTGGTTTAGTCTCCAGCAGCCATACAAACGCCACGTGGAATTAAATCATTTAAAACCTCTGTACATGGAGCTAAGTGCATATACATGTAGGGTCAGACATGAGCCATAAATAAAAAAAGCCTCTCTTCACTGTTTATAGATTTAACGAGAACCATCATTCATTAAAGCATAGTGGTATTTGCAACAGCTTTGATTATAAAAAGACTCAACTTCCAACTTTAACTCAACTTGTTTTACTTTAAGTTATGAGTTAATTGCAGTATTTTCAGAATCTATCAACCCATTCTATTAACTTAATTGGGAATGTTATATTGAGAAAATTAACTATCAACTGGATTCTGAAGCAAATATAACACAGCCCACAAGTTCTCAATCTTTTTGTTGAAGCCCTTTACCTGTATCCTTCAGAAGTCACTCCCCAAATGAGAGCATCAGGTGTTGAAAAAGCAACTACAACTGTTGCGTTTTTCTCCAACAACAGTTCATAAAGCTTAGTTTTTCTATGAAGTGGAGTTTATTACACCATTAAGGAACAGTATTTAAACAGTTATTTTAATGGAATATTTTACAAATCAATTCATACAGAGAAAAGCAAACACAATGTTGTTTTAAAGTTATTACCAATAAGCTACATCGTTAAGCTGTTAGCGAGAGTGTCGTACTGTAAACTAGCAATCAAGTATTGTAGTAACTTGCAGTTCAGAATGAGATGGTAAAAATACCAGACAAGCAAAGACATTTTTAAGACTTTTTGTACTCAATTCTTTCTACTTTCACATCATCTCCAATTAGTTGATAGACGTATGTAACTACTGTAGAAGCCTGGATATCCATCAGCACAAACGAAGGAATGATGTTGCTGGAAAGAGAGGAAAAAAAATCCTATTAATTGTGCCCATATAATCACCACAGCAGTGTCTCACCACTACTTAACAGACATCAATCTAAGAAAAATTGATAGGAATTTTGTAAGCACAGGACATCAGATACAAAGCTTTATGTATTTTGCTCTCATCTGTTTTGAACCTGTTTCGTTCAAGGAGATTTAGTAAGTACCACCAACCCTTCCTCCCTCACGTTTAGAATGTGAACATTCACCTCCACCAGAAGTTCTGGAAGTTCAGTTCAGAAGAAACCTTCCCCACAGCTATTTCCCACCCTTCACTTACTTGTCTAAGGCATGATAAGCTCCTGTAGCTGATCCTGGATTGATATAGAACTTGTTTTCGTGTTCAAATGCCTCAAATTTGTGTGTATGTCCTGAAATTAGGATGTCCACATCAAACTGCCTCTGTAGCAGCGCCAGGCTGGCCATGTCACCCCAAGGGATAACCTGATGCCCGTGAATCAGCCCGATTTTGAACTGTCCAACAGTTACAACTTTCTGTTCAGGATAATTCAGGTTCTAAAAATAAAATAAAAAAAACCCCAATACATTAGATATATAGATTTGTATTTAAAACCAACTCTGTAACAGCAAAAAGAAAGGGGGAAAGCTTATGGAAATATTCAATGTAATTGGCCCCATCGCTGCAAAATGAGAGCTACAAGGCTGCTTTTAGGAGCACTGCAGAGAATGTGGTAGGACACAATGAAATTCAAAGGTCTGACAACAGCAGATCCTGTTTGCTGGAATCCTAGACGTAGCCAAGTACAAATATGCAAATTACCTTTCTTCACACTGATGACAGATGAGAACTTACTGTACAATTCACATCACTGCCTCTAACCCCAACTCTTTTGCCCAGTTGGCTTTTCACGCGCACTTCGCACCACAAAACCTCAGTTTGCCCACTTTTACTTGAATTACAAATAACCCAAGTGTTGCCCTTATGTCAAAGAGGAACAAAAAAACCGTCATTATCAAGAGAGGACACTACCTCATCAAAGTCCCCTCTGACAACATGAACATCCCCAGCCAGAGTCTTGAGGTAGTCGTAAGTGTCCTTGGTGCAGAGGTTTCCGGTGCAGAGGATGTGTTGGATCTTTCCTGGAACCAGCAGTTTTTTGAATTTGGCTGGGAGGCTGTTGCATCGATGCGGAATGTGGAGATCTCCTAATACTAACACCAACTGATGGGGTGTCAGGGCAGGGAAGAAAGATCGTTACAGACACTTATTAAGACAAGAAGCGTGAGGGAACAGAAAGCATTGCAATGTCTTCTTCAGTTTCATAACATTTCATTTCGATATAAAGGCTACTAAAATAAGAAGGAAATGGTGATGGAATATTGCTATACTGAGGGAAAACAAGGGCCCTTACTAAGGCAGAACACTATCCAGAGTGGGGCTTTACAAACACAACGGTCTACAGATTATTTGTTTTTAACTTAGTTGCTGAAAGTCATTGTTATTTTTATAACAAAAGAAATGTATTTTATGCGAATTTGGGAACCACCATAGACTATCCCACATTTTTCCTCCTTAAACACCAAAAAAACCCCACGATACAGGACATCTCCAGTACATGTTCTCAAGCACAGTCCTGGCTAGCTGTGGCCACTTCCCTTTAAAACTCTTCTTTTGAGTTTTTCTACCTTAATTAACTTCTGTTTTTTTAATTATTTATTTAAAAAAAAAAAAAAAAAAGAAAAAAAGCAGCAAATTTGCAACGTGTTAATAGCTGACCATAACAGGAAGCTTGTTCAGTGTCCATATTATAGGAACCACTGAAAAACAGGGTAAGACTTAATAGTTTAAAAAAAAACCCCAGGGCTCTGCAGAGCAGCTCAGCTGGAGTCCTGCACCCAGTGGGTCAGTTGCCACTTCTCTACATCCACCGTTTCAGTACAAGAGATGCACAGAGAATATAAATTTAATGGGGGGGGCTTCAAAATTAAGGATTTGAATGAAGTAAGACCGTAGTTTAACATTACAGGCTTTAAATCTGCGAATAAAGGAACAATTAATGCAAGCAACAAAGCAATAAATTAATTATGCAAAAGGGGCATGAAAAGCTCTATGAAGCACGGGGTGTTACGCCACTACACTGTAAACAACACTAAAACTTGGTAACTTGAAAAATAGCTCCATTTTAAAAAGGGACAGTTTTATCTCCCAACCATAATGCTTCGTTAGTCAGACAGTTCCTAAAATGACAGCCAGCAACGTGTTTGTAAACACAGCCTGGATATATCCGCAGTAACTATGCTAAGAAATTACCTTTTTTAATATTTTCTTTTTAAATAAGAAATATACCTTTTTTAATATTTTCTTTTTAAATTTTTGGCCCTGTGGCCATCTCCCTGCTAAGAGTCATCAAAAATGGCAGAGGGAACTCAGGTGGATTTTATGTTTGCTTTTGGTTGGTTTTTTCTTTTCAATTAGCTCAGTGTCATCACCAAAACACCTTTGGAGATTAGATGGTGGAAGGTATCGGTAAAGCAATACAGGACTTTTTTAATCAATGAGCTACCAACTGGAAATTAAGCCAAGAGAGGAAAAACCAACACATTTTTGATGGCCCTCCAAGTGAAAAACACCCTCAGTAGCATCAGTCTAGGGATTATACACTTGAATGCAAGTGAAAAATGGGTGACGAGTGATTTTATTAAAAAGGCAGTAGATAGATTCTCTTACTGATGCTTCAGTGGCTCAGACATGCAATATCAGTTTTGTATTTAATGTTGAATACAATTGTACTGCCACTTAAAACACACAACCCCACTCAACTCAGCGGAGTTTGAGCACTCAACAAAGGCTGTTTCCTTTGCTGACAAACCGTCAGGCCCCATATTTTCCCCCAAATCACATCTGAGCTGCCATTAATTATAGAAAATCTCGGTGAGCTACAATTACACAAATAAATTTAAAGCACTAAAGCGTTTTTAATAATCACAGGTACCCACAACGTGAAATAGCAGCACAGAATGTTACAACATCTGGCTTTAAGTAGGAATTTAGGTGCAATCTCGAGCGCGGGTTGAACCGCAGCCCCTAATTCCTAGGTACCATCTGACATTTGTATCAGGTAGTGAGAGGAACCAGCCCTTACCACCGGGGTTAGCAACAGCCAAGAGGAGGAGACTTACTCTGTGCCCAGCCTTATTGGAATGAAGAAGTTGATTGCAGACAGGGAGGGGGGCAATGAAAAACAGGGTGAAACATGATCAATGTTAAAACAAAAGAAAGCAACAGAAAAAGAAAATATAGCCAAATGAACAAGCAAATAATAATAATTAATGAATCGTTGATGTTATGAAAGAAGCGTTAAAAAAAAAAATAAATTAACAATTAAATTCCATTCAATCTGAGGGGGTGACAGCCCCTCGGCGCGGCCTCCTCGCCGCCGCCGGGCCCTCGGCGGAGCTGCGCCTCTTCCCTGCGCTCCCCTCCCGCCCCTCCACCCCCCCCGGCTCGGCATGAGGCGGATTGCGGGGCGGACACTGATAGAAAACGTTCCCTCAGCGCCCGTT